TGGAAAGATGTATCCTCAGGAACAAGATCCTGTTCCCTAATGGGATCTAAACTTGAAATTGTCCTTTTGAGCCTTTAGCTACCTGCTCTTTACTGCATATTTCATAGAATCGTAGAATATCAGGGTTGGAAGGGACCTCAGGAGGTCATCTAGTCCAACCCCCTGCTCAAAGCAGGACCAATCCCCGATTAAATCATCCCAGCCAGGGCTTTGTCAAGCCTGACCTTAAAAACTTCTAAGGAAGGAGATTCTACCACCTCCCTAGGTAACGCATTCCAGTGTTTCACCACCCTCCTAGTGAAAAAGTTTTTCCTAATATCCAACCTAAACCTCCCCCACTGCAACTTGAGACCATTAGTCCTTGTTCGGTCATCTGCTAGCACTCAGAACAGTCTAGATCCATCCTCTTTGGTACCCCCTTTCAGGTAGTTGAAAGCAGCTATCAAATCCCCCCTCATTCTTCTCTTCTGCAGACTAAACAATCCCAGTTCCCTCAGCCTCTCCTCATAAGTCATGTGTTCCAGACCCCTAATCATTTTTGTTGCCCTTCGCCGGACTCTCTCCAATTTATCCACATCCTTCTTGTAGTGCAGGGTCCAAAACTGGACACAGTACTCCAGATGAGGCCTCACCAATGTCAAATAGAGGGGAACGATCACGTCCCTCGATCTGCTGGCTATGCCGCTATTTATACATCCCAAAACGCCATTGGTCTTCTTGGCAACAAGGGCACACTGCTGACTCATATCCAGCTTCTCGTCCACTGTTACCCCTAGGTTCTTTTCCGCAGAACTGCTGCCTAGCCATTCGGTCCCTAGTCTGTAGCTGTGCATTGGGTTCTTCAGTCCTAAGTGCAGGACCCTGCACTTATCCTTATTGAACCTCATCAGATTTCTTTTGGCCCAATCCTCCAATTTGTCTAGGTCCCTCTGTATCCTCTCCCTGCCCCCCAGCGTATCTACCACTCCTCCTAGTTTAGTATCATCCGCAAATTTGCTGAGGGTGCAATCCACACCATCCTCCAGATCATTTATGAAGATATTGAACAAAACTGGCCCGAGGACCGACCCCTGGGGCACTCCACTTGACACTGGCTGCCAACTAGACATGGAGCCATTGATCACTACCCGTTGAGCCCGACAATCTAGCCAACTTTCTACCCACCTTATAGTGCATTCATCCAGCCCATACTTCTTTAACTTGCTGACAAGAATACTGTGGGAGACCGTGTCAAAAGCTTTGCTAAAGTCAAGAAACAATACATCCACTGCTTTCCCTTCATCCACAGAACCAGTAATCTCATCATAGAAGGCGATTAGATTAGTCAGGCATGACCTTCCCTTGGTGAATCCATGCTGACTGTTCCTGATCACTTTCCTCTCATGTAAGTGCTTCAGGATTGATTCTTTGAGGACCTGCTCCATGTTTTTTCCGGGGACTGAGGTGAGGCTGACTGGCCTGTAGTTCCCAGGATCCTCCTTCTTCCCTTTTTTAAAGATTGGCACTACATTAGCCTTTTTCCAGTCATCTGGGACTTCCCCCATTCGCCACGAGTTTTCAAAGATAATGGCTAATGGCTCTGCAATCACAGCCGCCAATTCCTTTAGCACTCTCGAATGCAACTCGTCCAGCCCCATGAACTTGTGTACGTCCAGCTTTTCTAAATAGTCCCTAACCACCTCTTTCTCCACAGAGGGCTGGCCATCTACTCCCCATGTTGTGATGCCCAGCGCAGCAGTCTGGGAGCTGACCTTGTTAGTGAAGACAGGCAAAAAAAGCATTGAGTACATTAGCTTTTTCCACATCTTCTGTCACTGGGTTCCCTCCCTCATTCAGTAAGGGGCCCACACTTTCCTTGGCTTTCTTCTTGTTGCCAATATACCTGAAGAAACCCTTCTTGTTACTCTTGACATCTCTTGCTAGCTGCAGCTCCAGGTGCGATTTGGCCCTCATTGATTTCAATGAAGGTAACATTTTTTGGTGGCCGTGACTTCTGCTAGGTAGGAGATCAGGTGAGCTGCAGGCCCTGCCTGTCTGGCCCGCCTTATACTGTTTTCTTTAAAGACAAAATGTACCTTCATTTTCACCCAAAGTTTCTCTCAACCGCATTATCTAGCTTCCGTATCAACCAAGCGATTTACCTACCTTCATCTTTTTCCCCGAGACCACACCTGAATAAAGATGAAGAGCATTAGCATTCTCCCTTGACAGTTCTAAACAATTCTGTCTGTATTCCCAGCTCTTTGTGGTGATCTCAGAGAGAATGAAGGGGCTCCCAGTTTCTTCTTATAGAATAATGTCTTGGATAGCCTTGTTATCCCCCAAGCAGAGCGGCAGCAATTTGACAAGATTGCAAGAGGCTTCTGCGACTTTCCTGGCTGTCCTAGACATTTGTAGGCAGCATCTTGGTCTTCGTTGCACATGTGTATTTCCCATTATGCCATCACTCAGCAATCAAGAGACGAAGCTTGTCCTTCAGTTGTTCAGATGGGCTTTGATGCCACCAAAACTGGAATGCACTTGTGCAGTCACTGGAAGAAGGAAAAACGGTTACTTACCTGTTCCATAACTATTGTTCTTCAAGATGTGTTGCATATGTCCATTCCATGACCCATCCTTCTACTCCTCTCCATCGGAATTTTTCTGGCAAGAAGGAACTGAGAAGGATCAGGGCAGGTCTGCCCTTTATACCTACATGCAGTGGCACGCAGCAGCAGAGGGCCCTTGAGCTGTCCTGATGTACCACTGAGGGGAAAATTTCTGACAGCTGTGCTTGGGGCACATACACACCAGGAATGGAATGGACATGCGGAACACATCCTGAAGAAAAACTTATTGTGAAATAAGTTAGTGACTCTTTCCTTATAGTTGGAGCCAAAACCAAACTTTCTCTTTTACATTAAGATTTCTATTGTTGATGCTGAATTTGATGCAGCTGCTGCAGTTCAAAGTCAAGCTAAACATATGCCCAAATAAATCTTAGTCTTTAAGGTGCCACCGGACTCCTTGTTGTTTAAGCTAAACATAGTGCAGCAGATCATAGCTATGTTATTAACAGGGTGCGCAAGGTGTTCAGCTGGTGCAAAAGATTTGGATTCCTTGAGATGCAAAAGGTTACTGTGCAAAGGATCACTGTATATTGATTTATGGAATGCATTCTCTACGTTGCTTCATAGTATGATCACAATACTTATTACTGTTGTGATATCGGGAGATGAGTTGTTTTATAGGCACAACCCTTAATGTTTGTAAAGTTCAGTTTGTGTTTTCCTTTAATCGCTGTGAAGCGATTAAAAAAAACTAATTGCAGTTAATCACACTGTTAAAACAATAATAATACCATTTATTTAAATATTTTTGATGTTTTCTACATTTTCAGATGTATTGATTTCAATTACAACACAGAATACAAAGTGTACAGTGCTCAGTTTATATTTATTTTTGATTACAAGTATTTGCACTGAAAAAAACAAAAGAAATAGTATTTTACAATTCACCTAATACAAGTACTATAGTGCAATCCCTTTATCATGAAAGTTGAACTTAAAATGTAGAATTATGTACAAAAAAACCTGGATTCAAAAACAAAACAATGTAAAATTTTACAGCCTGCATGTCCACTCAGTCCTAATTCTTGTTCAGCCAGTTGCTCAGACAAACAAGTCTGGTTACATTTGCAGGAGATAATGCTGCCCGCTTATTGTTTACAATGTAACCTGAAAGTGAGAACAGACATTCTCATGGCATGTTGTAGCTGGCATCTCAAGATATTTACCTGCTAGAGGTGCTAAAGATTCATATGTCACTTCATACTTCAACCACCATTGTGTCCATGCTGATGACGGGTTCTGCTCAATAACAATCCAAAGCAGTGCGGACCAATGCATGTTCATTTTCATCGTCTGAGTCAGGTGCCACCAGCAGAAGGTTGATTTTCTTTTTTGGTAGTTCAGGTTCTGTAGTTTCTGCATCGGAGTTTTGCTCTTTTAAGACTTCTCAAAGCATGTTCCACACCTCGTCCCTCTCAGATTTTGAAAGGCACTTCAGATTCTTAAACCTTGGGTCGAGTGCTGTAGCTATCTTTAGAAATCTCACATTGGTACCTTCTTTGTGTTTTGTCAAATCTGCAGTGAAAGTGTTCTTAAAACAAATAACATGGTGGGTCATCAGCCGAGACTGCTGTAACATGAAATATATGGCAGAATGCCAGTAAAACAGAGCAGGAGGCATACAATTCTCTCCCAAGGAGTTCAGTCACAAATTTAATTCACACATTTTTTTTAACGAGCGTCATCAGCATCGAAGCATGTCTTCTGGAATTGTGGCCGAAGCATGAAGAGGCATACAAATGTTTAGTGTATCTGGCATGTAAATCCCTTGCAATGCCAGCTACAAAAGTGCCATGCAAATGCCTGTTTTCACATTTTGGTGACATTGTAAATAAGAAGAATGCAGCATTATCTCCTGTAAATGTAAACAAACTTGTTTGTCTTAGCGATTGGCTGAAGAAGAAGTAGGACTGAGTGGACTTGTAGACTCTGAAGTTTTACATTGTTTTGTTTTTGAGTGCAGTTATGTAACAAAAAAAAAAATCTACATTTGTAAGTTGTACTTTCACGAAACAGACTGTACTACAGTACTTGTATGAGGTGAACTGAAAAAATACTGTTTCTTTTGTTTATTATTTTTAAAATGCAAATATTTGTAATGAAAAATAATATACACTTCGATTTCAATTGCAACACAATACAATATATATGAAAATGTAGAAAAACATCCATAATATTTAATACATTTCAATCGGTATTCTATTGTTTAACAGTGCGATTGAAACTGCGATTAATCATGATTAATTTTTTTAATCACGATTACGTTTTTTTGCGTTAATCGTGTGAGTTAACCGTGATTAATCGACAGCCCTACTATAAACTAGTAACTTTCATGGACATGTATTAGTACGTTTTGTAGCTATAAATGGAAAAATCTTTTGTTTATTGTAGAAGACCACCACGTCCCAATAGTGCCAGGCCAGCTCCCCCCCGGATAAAACGACAAGAAAGTACAGAGGTTTTACTTCCAGAGAGGTAAGGGAAGGGCTATGTGTGGGTACGTGATGCAGAATAAACATTCCTAGTTATCCCAATGCATCATTCTGTAGTGTGCCATGTGACACTCACCCATAACGATGATACTAAAATATACATGCTGCACATGGCCTCAGCTTAGAAAATTTAAAGATTTCGTATGCTGGTCTTACTGTTTCTGCAGAACCAGTATGTTGTCAGAACAAAGTGAAACTGACCTGTGGTGTCAGAAGCTTTGAAAAGCAGATAAAATCGTCGGCTGTTGCAAACTCTGGAACAGTAAATCTGATAATGCTAATCTAAAATAGGCCTAGAAAAGACCTGTCAAAAATGCAGTGAATAGACCATGGCCCCAGAATGCTGAAGGTGCGTTTTGAAACTAGTTCTAATTACCAAAATGATAAGCATCTGATAACTGCTAACTTCCTCTAATCCAGAAAAGCAAGTTGATAGTTAAAAGAAAAAAAAATTATTTCTGTGGCTAAATAAGACAGTTACTTACCAGTATTGTAACTGTTCTTTGAGACGTGAGTGCAGACATGTATTCCACTCAGGTCTGTGTGCGCCTAGCACTACCTGTAGAAGTGGCACTCATGCCTTTTCCTTCATAGTCCCTCCCATGGCTATATGGCAGTGCCGCCCCGTCCTCCCTTCCCTTTCTTTGCACTGAAACCCCAGGTTGGAGACTCTAGTGCTGAGGGATCAGATGGTGGACTGTGGAATATATGTCTGCACTCACATCTTGAAGAACAACAGTTACGATACCGGTAAGTAACAGTCTTTTCTTCAAGTGGTTGCAGACATGTATTCCATTCAGGTGACTCTCAAGCAGTTTGAGCAGGAGGTGTGGATCAGAGTCTATTTAAACAGTGACTGCAGAACTGTCTTTCCAAAGTTTTCATCCGATCTCGATGCCGTAGTGATAGCATGATGATTAGCAAAAGTATGTACAGAAGACCATGTCACTGGCCTGAAGATATCCAGTATTGAGATATTGCTAAGGAATCCAATTGATGTCACTTGATCTCTCATTGAATGAGCCCATAATGACTGAGGGGATGTCATCTGAGCAACATCATGAGTTTAGGTAATACAAGCAGTTATCCCCTTGGAAATGGTCTGAGTGGAGACCAGTTGTTTTTTCATCTGCTCACATAGGGTACGAATAGTCGAGATGATGTATAAAACTGCTTAGTCCTTTCTAAATAGAATGCTAGGCACCTCCTGACATTTAAGGGATATAGATGTTGCTCATCTGCACTTGAATGTGGTTTGGAAAAAAAATATAGGTAAGTAACCTGAGTAAAGTGAAATGGAGATACCACTTCAGACAAAAATTTTAGATGTGGTCTTAAAGCCACTTTGTTCTTGAAGAATTGAGTGTACAAGGATCTGCCACTAAGGCTTGTATCTTGCTCAGTCATCTTGCTCACTCATCTTGTGAGAAGAGAGCCAATAAACATGTTGCTATCTGCTCGAGCTGCAGGCGATTTAGCACCGTCAGCCCCCTATTAAGGTCCAACAATTGCACCATTTCCTTCACTGGTAGAAAAAGGAGAACAATACCCTTAAAAAAACAAACACAAAAACTCACTATCATGGGGTTTGAGAATACTGACCGTTCCTTGTATGGGAGGATGGAAAACTGAGATCACAGCCAAATGAGCAGGAGCACTTGTCTCTGTGGTGGTAATGGTACCAATCCCAGAACTGACCATGATTCCCATTGTCTCGATGACCTTCAAGATTGAAAGCGATAGGAGGAAGCAGAGGGAGATGCCTCCAAATTCCACTTTGAGGACCCTTCCAGGTAATCTGATGGTGGCAGGGGAGCTGCTCCTGATGGAGCCACTAAATGCCCTGCATCATCTGTGTTCCAACCTGATGATGTCATTGGTGCAGGAGGAACAGTCAACGGCTTCTTGACCGCTGGTACCAGCCTCACACTCATATTTGGCCCTGGAGCAGCCATTGAAGCTGGTCTCAGGCCTGCCAGATGCAGACTACGTTGTAATCAGTGTCTGCACCAAAGATTCCGTCTCCATTAACGATACCCTCACCGCCAATGAGGAAAACAGCTGCACCCCTGGACCGCAGGGTGGAGGACATTGCTGTAAATAACTATAAGTCTGCCCCTGGTCCAGATGGAAGTGGGGACACCACAGATAACACTGCTGCAGTCAATTGTTCCTGAATAAGCAGCAAGTTAGGACAGGCAGGCACAGCAAATCTGCTGTCTGGTATGCAATTGGTGTGGAAACAGACAATGCTCCTTAGTACTGGATTCCTCAGACGTCCCCAAGGCAATACCAGAGTTCACAGTATGGAGTACCCCTGGTCCTGCAATGGAACTGTTGAGAGGTTGACAGCCGAGCTCTATCCCACATACCCGCAGACTCATGGTGCTAATTGGTACTTTCCCTATACAGAGAAGATGAATCTCCTTTATACTCTGGAATTCCCCCGGTCCATTTTCTGGGTTCTTTTTCTTGGGGGACCTGCTGAAGGAGAGCATTCCCTTTTCTTTCTGGGCAAGGAATCTGAGCTCAGTCAAGAAGTCAGGTCCTTTTTTTAGGAGCCGGACACACCTGGATTGTTCCTGTTACTGAGGCAAGTCTCATGGCCTGCTCAAGAAGTTGCTGCTTTAATCTGAAGTCTCTAGCCACCTGAGTCCTTCTTAAAGGAGTTACAGGTGAAGCACCTTTCCTTCATGTGCCCTTCTCTGAGACACAAAAGCATCGGTGTTACAAAAGGACAATATTTAAACTCTGGGAGAGCATCCCACCGGGAAAAACTACCTACCTAATTACTGTAGTTAGTAGTAGTACCTTTTAGTTTGTAGTAAAACCTGCCAAGAGTGACCACTCATGGGAGTTCGGAAAAGTGGTCGCTTGTAAGAGGTGGCCTCTCTTCAGAGGTTTGCACACCGGAGAGCGGCAGCTGCTGGAGGTAAGGAAGATTGGTTTCTTCTACAGGTTTGTTTTTATAGATAGGAGTAAGAAAATGTGGTCACTGGTTGCAGATGCCAGGTTATCGCTCTTCACAGTTAAATTATAGGGGGAAAAACATTCGGTGGTCTCTCTTCAGAGGTGGTTGCTAAAGCAGGTTTTACTATATATGCAAAAAAGATCACAGAAGACAGTGAAGGCAAGTGTGAGGTAAGGTCACATTAAGTGCTAGCTGCTGGCGGTAGGAAGGAACTAAGGGGGGTGTCACTGCCCTTACATAGTCATGGGAGGGGCAGTGACAAAAAGGGCCTAAGTGCTGCCCCTGCAGTGACTGCGAGGCAAAATTCTCTAACTTCTGTGATCTGTGCATGCATACACCTGAAAGGAATGTCTTTAACAACTCGAAGAAGAACCCGAATTCCTGGCCAGTACTTTTGTCTTCATAGATTCATGTATTCCAAGGCTCTGAGTAAGTTTCCCAAACCTGAGGAAGAGCTCTCTGTAAATTGGAAAGCTCGTCTCTCTCACCAAGAGAAGTTGGTTCAATAAAAGATACTACTTCACCCACCTTGTCTCTCTGATATCCTGGGACCAACGTGGCTACTACAACACTGTATAAAACAGGCCATAGAACTTCCCAAACCAGTCTTAGAACATATCTTTTAGAAAAACATCCAGTCCTGATTTAAAAATGGTCAGCGATGGAGAATTCACCACAACTCTTGGTCAGTTGTTCCAGTGGTTAATTACTCTCACCATTAAGAATTTTCACCTTAATACTGCCAGTCTATATTTATCTAGCTTCAGCTTCCAGCTATTGGATCTTTCTCTGCTAGATTGAAGAGCCTGGTATTAAATATTTGTTCCCTGTGGAGATACTTATAGACTGCAAAGTAAAGTTGGGCTACAATTGGGAAAATGGCATAAATTTAGATTAGGAAGTGATTCTCCTATACAGTGGAACCTCAGAATTACAAACACCAGAGTTACAAACAGACCAGTCAACCACACACCTCATCTGGAAACAGAAGTATGCAATCAGGCAGCAGCAGAGACAAAAAAAAAAAAGAGCAAATACAGTACAGTACTGTGCTAAACATAAACTACTAAAAAAATAAAGGGAAAGTTTAAAAAAAAATTGACTAGCCAAGGAAACTGTTTCTGTGCTTGCTTCATTTAAATTAAGGTGGTTAAAATCAGTGTTTTTTCTTCTGCATAGCAAAGTTTCAAAACTATTAAGTCAATGCTCAGTTGTAAACTTTTGAAAGAACAACCCTAACGTTTTGTTCAGAGTCACAAACATTTCAGAGGTTCTACTGTATTAGAGAGAACAAGGAGTCCGGTGGCATCTTAAAGACCAACGTATTTATTTGGGCATAAGCTTTCGTGGGTAAAAAACCCACTTCTTCAGATGCATGGAGTGCAAATTACAGATGCAGGCATTATACACTGACACATGAAGAGAAGGGAGTTACCTCACAAGTGGAGAACCAGTGTTGACAGGGCGAATTCGATCAGGGTGGATGTAGTCCACTCCCAATAATTGATGAGGACGTGTCAATTCCAGGATGGGCAAAGCTGCTTTTGTAATGAGCCAGCCACTCCCAGTCCCTATTCAAGCCCAAATTAATGATGATAAATTTGCAAATGAATTTTAGTTCTGGTCCTCTACTTGTGAGGTAACTCCCTTCTCTTCATGTGTCAGTATATAATGCCTGCATCTGTAATTTTCACTCCATGCATCTGAAGAAGGTTTTTTACCCATGAAAGCTTATGCCCAAATAAATCTGTTAGTCTTTAAGGTGCCACCGGACTCCTTGTTGTTTTTGTGGATACAGACTAACACAGTTACGCCCTGATACTTGTATTAGAGAAAGAGAGGCTCTACTGTATTAGAGAGAGAGAGGTGTGTGCTCTCTTCAGGTATGGACAACTTTTGGTCAAAATTTCTGTATGGTTTAAATTTCCATGGTCTGTCTTTCAGGAATGGCAGCGGTAAAGCCGTCTCAAACGTGATCATAGACAAACAGAATTCTGACGATGAGGATGATCAGTTTGTGGTGGAGGCAGCACCACAGCTACCTGAAATGCCAGAAATGGAAACGGTCTGTTAATATAACAAAACCCAGCCTTTTTGTTCAAATGTGTGTTCAGAGTTCCCTTTAATGCTGTCCAATTTTTTTTTTATTTGAGCAGTTTCTTATCTGAGATGCGTGCATGCTTTAGATCACAACAGTGTAAGCTTCCTAATAACTAAAAGCTTTTTCTTTTTCTTATGTAGGAGCCAATAGTGGAGCTGGATGGTGATGAGAAGCATGGTAAGTTTCTCTGGCTCTTCTCCGTTCATCTGTGGTTCATACTCTGCACAGGATGTAAAAGAATCTTAAATAGATAATGGGAATAACCTTTCTTAATCATGTTTTGATCTTGCATCTTGAGGGTACATACTTCTAATTTATGCAATAACTTTAAAAAAGAAAAATATAGAAACAAGCTATTTAGCAAAAGCAATCTGTTCTTATTGTAACAGGGTAGCAGGATCTACAATCCAGGTAGGGATACAGATTTGTTAATTCATCCTGTTAACGAGAGTTTAGAACCCTGCTGAGTAAATTCTGCTAACTTATTATGGTAGGTACCGCTGGTAAAGTCCACAGAGAACCAGCATATTATCAGATCAAAGTGAAACTAAACTGTGGTATCAGTATGTGTTTGCTGCGAAGTTTTAAAGAAGATCAAACCACTGAACTGGCAGAAGTCACTGACTAAGCACCGTGAACCAAAGTTTGTTGACGTGCTCAACCAGCTTTTTAGAGCAATAGCTTCAGGTGCAGAAAGAATATTTTCTTCGTTTCAGTTTATTCAGCTGGTTCAATTCAATGACTAGTTCATTCATCGTTGAGAAACTGCTTATGAGTTGAAAAAGCAGGGAAGTTTATTTTCCTTCCCTAATCTATGAATAAAAACTACGGATTAGAGGATAAGATCTACTAGTTCTAAAATCTTGAAGGACATGGTGACCAGAAACAATTAGTTCTCTTCATTAATTACGGATAATACTTCCCTTTGTTTATTAAATTAGTTTTAAATGCAAAACGTTTTTGATAGACATTTTTCTTACATATCAGCACATTTAAAGTAGTGTTATTTAGTAAATAAAATGCGATTTTTTACATTTTTAATTGAATTTCTATTTCCATCCAAATAGAGAGAGACACACATTGTATTCTTTGTAAGTAATCATTGTAATCACATTGTAAGTAAAAAAAAAAAAAAAAAAAAAATCATCTAGCAAATAAGAAACGCATCATTCACATTCACCATTTTCTAACTTAATAAAATATAAAACTTAAGAATCTAAATACATATAAGTTAAACTATATAATTGCTTAAATAAATCTGTATAATATAGTATATCCTCCTGGTTAGCAAAATAAGCACCAAAGTTAGGATAATGGCTATATTTAGTTGCAGATCAACATGTTTTAATGGTTACCAACCAATGAGAATCAACCTTTCTCTTTAGGAAGATAACTAAAAAGTACAAATGCAAAACAGTATTAAAATTGAAGATTTAAATCATGGTTTCCGATTTAAAATTGGTGATTTAAATCAATCCACCAGGCACCTAGGCTTAATTAGTTTTGTTTTGTGGTGGTGACTGAATTACCAGTAAAGCAAATCCCAAGAAGGAGCTAAGTTTGGTATTATTATACAGCCGATGTAGACTTTCTTTTGAGTGTGGTCGGAACTGTCAGGTCACACTTATATAATAAGCAGCACATATTATCAGGAACTAAACTTGTTGTCCTTTTAAATCAGGGGTTGGCAACCTTTCAGAAGTGGTGTGCCAAGTCTTCATTTATTCACTCTAATTTAAGGTTTTGCGTGCCAGTAATAAGAATCCATGCTGAGCTGCTCCCCCTCTTGGCCCTGTCTTCACCACTCACTGCCCCAGGCTGGGGCCAGAGGGGCACAGCGTGGGGCAGCTGCAGAGCCCCCCGGGCCAGTGGCTGGGACCCGGGGCTGGCAGCGGGCTGAGCAGAGATGGCGGCTGGAACCCCAGTCCGGCAGCGGAGCCCCCTGGACCAGTGGCTGGAAACTGGGCCCGGCAGCGGGCTGAGAGGGCTGGCAGACGGAACCCCAGGCCAGCAGCAGAGCCCCCGGGACCAGTGGCCCTGACCCGGGGCCAGCAGCGGGCTGAGCAGGGCCGGCAGACAGAACCCTGGATGGCAGAGGGCCGGCGGATGGTACCCCAGGCCGGCAGCGGAGCCCCCGGGACCATTGGCCAGGACCTGGGCAGTGTGAGTGCCACTGAAAATCAGGTCGCGTGCCGCCTTTGGAATGTGTGCCATAGGTTGCCTACCCCTGTTTTAAATTATAATAACACTGAATAGATACTTAACTTCTGAGAAGTGTCTCCTGAAAAACAATCATCTAGATATGAGTTCTAATCTGAGCTCTACCACTACCCATTTTGTGGCCTTGAGGGAGTCACTTAACTTCTCTCTGTCTCTGCCTATCAGGGACTGTGGTTTTGTGATTGTGGTAAGCCGCCAAGGGGTCAATTCCCATTTTATACTGAGACAGTGTATCTACACTGGAGTTTTGCATCAGTGTAGCTGCCCCAGTACAAATATCTCTATGTAGACAGACCTTGGGATTGGATTGAGGATTGTCTAGTTTACAAGAGCTCCAGGTCAGCAAAGCGCTTAAGCTTTTGAAAATTTTACCTCACATGCTGAAGTGCCTAAGGGCTTGTCCATACGTAAAACACTACAGCAGCATAGCTGCACTGCTGTAATTCTTCAGTGTAGAGACTACTTACTCTGACAGGAGGAACTGCACGGCAGAGGTAATCCACCTCCGTGAGAGATGGTAGCTAGGTCGACATACCAATGTCTACATGGGGACTTAGGCCTGGTCTACACTACAGAGTTAGGTCAATGTAAAGCAGCTTATGTTGACCTGTTTATGTCAGTGTAGACACTACAGCCTTGTTCCCGCTAATGTAAGTGCCCTACTACACCTACATAATAATTCCACCTCCACAAGAGGCGTAGGGCTTATGTCGATGTAGTTAGGATGATGCAGCATCAATGCGAACACTATGAGTTACTTACATTGGCTCCATGCTGGAGCCGTGAAACTGACAAGAAAGCTGCTCGCAGCTTGAGCGATCACCCAGGGGTGGGTCGGGGGCTCCAACTAGAGCCTGGCTGCCCCCCAGGCTCTTGTCCTCCAGTTCAGCTGCTGCTCTGGCTCTCTGTTGGGAGCCCCGCAACACCGAGGCTCCCAGCTCACCACTCCCTCCACACTGGGCTCTTGGCTCCCCACTGGGAACCTGGCAGCCACCCAGGTTCTAGGTGTGGAGCTCCAAGTGGGGAGCAGGGAGCCAAGAACCCGGAGGGGGTGGGAGTGAGAGCAGACAGGCTCCCAGCAGGGAGCTATGTAGAGCTGAGATTCTGAGCTCTCAGCCCCCCCTTAAGTCTCTGGAAGTGTTCCTGGTGAGGAGGCACACCACCAACAGAAGGAGGGCAGTGTGGACTTGAACCACCGCAGTAACTGCTGCAGTAGCTATAAGACAACCAAAAATAGTTTGTAGTGTAGATATGCCCTTAGGTCAGCTTAACTAAACTGCTCGGGGGTGTGGATTTTTCACACCCCTGAGTGACATAATTATACCAACCTAATTTTCTGCAGTAGACCAGGCCTGACTCCTGCTGGTACTTAAGCTTCTAAGTCACTTAAATGCTTTTGAAAATGTTATCCATACTTAAATTTATGCAGATGCTTCAGTCTCATTGATTTCACATTCTTAAGTGCTTAGCTGAATCAGGGCTAAGGTGTTGTGAAGACTAGCTCATGTTTGCATAACGCTTTGAAAACATAAAATACTATCTAGGTATCAAGTACTATTGTTGTTTCTCACAGCCATAAGAATGTTATGTTAAAGTATGAAAAAAGATGAGAAAAATCATGTGGAAACTGATTCTGAGCTAGCCCAGAAATCTGCAGGGAGTTAGTTTCAGACTTCATACTCAGTAGCCCAGCATGGTCTGTGTGACCACTTCAGTTAACAGGAAAGATGAGTTGTCGCTACATAGTGTCATTTAAATGAGAATTTCTGAAGGACACTGTACCTGAATGAAAGTATAGAAAACCTGTACCTCCAATATTTAGCATTGTTGTGCTAAAATGAAATAAAATGCTTTGAAGGAAAAAAAACAAAAACCTTTCAACTGTTTGATTGCTGAACCTTAACAGACTACATCTCTAGATATATTATAACTATATTTTAAAACAGAATAAATTAAATGTCTCTTACCTAACAATACCTGAGTGCTGTTTCCTCTTCTACAATACACACCTAAGACTGCATAGGAAATGCAGATAATACCTTGTGTTGCTTTAGGTACTAATGACGACATTAAAAGTTGCAGAAAAAATAGAATCCTGCAAATTCTGATCTTCATAGCTATGAAAAGCCTGTTGGGCAGTGCACCATGGCAGTGTAATCTGTAACTCTGTCAGTGTGAATAGTAGACTTGGTATCTCTGAAATGTAATCAAGTATCCAATTCAGATGGTTGTCTCTTTAGGCTGAGTTCAGGAGACATGCTTTGTCTCGAAATAATTTAAATGTTCTTGTGGCATGTTACTTTAGCCAGCAGTGTGTGTACCTCTGTATGACCCACTGATTTAGAGTAAACTTTGAAAAAGTGTACAAATAAATCTACACAAGCAACTTGGTTCTAAACATCATTAGGCTTATTCTTTATCCCAAATCTCATTTATTTAGTTTCTCAAAACCTAGAATCCATTGTAATTGTATTGGACCTGGTTTATTTGAGAGAGGTGTTTTCCTAAAAGTCCACATGTAAATTTTGCACTTTGTAAAGGAAGGGCATAGAGATTAGATGATCTCTGTATGTAGTTTGTACAGCATTTGGCTAATTTTTCTGAATGAAAAATGCTGTATAAATGTAAGAGATTGTTATGATAACATATAAGTCAAGAGTGTGGTTCTATACCTTTAGTGAACTATACTTTCACATAATTTTGTGTTAATTTTTTCAAATGTATTTAAATCAAAATTAAAACCACATTTACTCTTTGATATTTTTGCAAAACAAAGGTTTACTTTAACCTACTTTGGGTGGTTCAGGTTGCCTTTAAGTCAGCAGTTCAAAGGCTAGAATAGTAGTCTTGTAAATATACTGTTATAACATGAGGTAGTCTGATTGACAAAAGTAGTTGTTTGGGGATGTTGTCCTTTGGGCTGTTCCCATTTATCCTTCTCCTATCCATTACCCTCCAGCCAAGCAGATTTAGATGTGGCTCCCGTAAAGCCTTTATCCTTGCTTTGACCACCAGTTTAGATGCTGCCTCTTTGGCAGTTCAACCGAGAGGAGCAAAAGACAGACCTTGGTATGTGCCTCAGGAAGATGAACGAAGCCTAGTAGGCCTCTATTATGATTCTGTGACCTGACTTGATTTCTTTCCTCTCCCCATCTCCTCTCTGGTTGTGCTGTGTAATGTACTTGCCACTACACCATCTTGACATCATATAGAGATGGGATAGATAGACTAATTTACTGGAATACAGTTACAGCTGGTCTAAAATCACTTTTCATTTAACAGAATTAAGTGATCAGGTTTTAGATTAGTTTTCAGATTATTTACAACAGTGTTTTAGTATCAGTAACCAGCACTAAGAGAAACATTGATCTTCAACAGGTGGTCTTGTAAAAAGAATCTTGGAAACAAAGAGAGATTATGAGACATCGCAACAGTCAAAGTCTACAGAGAAGGTAATTTGATAATGGGCTCCAAAGACTTGTCATTCATAAATGTTTCAGTAGTGACCTCTCTTTCGTCCGTGCATTGTTTTTTTCTTCCCAGTTTTATTTATCTTTGTGCTTCTCAAATTATGTCAAGCTTTCCATATCAGTCTCTGCCTTTCTCCCTTTTTTCATTCTGTTTTTGTATTTGGTACCGTACTCCTTTTTCATGTCCTTTATTTTCATTAGCTAGAAAATGAAAAAAAGACAGGACAGAGAAAGAGGAAAATAAGTGAGTCTCAGAAGATAGTGACATCTCTCATTTTGCTACTTATCAAATGTCACTGAACACTCGTATTCTGGTCAGAGCTCTATAATTGAAGTCGCTTGACTTTATCAAGAAAGCATCTTTGCAGCAACAGAAGCCAATGAGTTTTATTAATTTCAAGCTGCTGTAGTTGTAACACTGCTTCAGTTGGGAACTATATGAGGCATGATTTGTGTGTTTGAATAGCTGTAATGTTTTGATTCCAGTCTTAGTTGTCCTTTGGGCATTTGTAGAGCAGCATCCTGTTGTCCAACAACAGTTTTCATGGGCTGCTAACCAAAATAGGATCTTAAGATACTGTTAACCTTATAAAGTATAATCAGATGTTGGTTCTCTGATACTGCTTCATGTCTCCAAAGCTATCTTGATTCCAGTCAGTACTGAAGTGTAATTAATGTAGTATGTGTCTTTAGTCTTTATACTGAAAATCCTTTACTGTTTGTGCCTTGTCAAGATCTTGTTGCAAATGCCTATTAGAGTGCACAATAACTTTTGATTGATTTTCCTGATCAACCAGCCATTGAGAAGGCTAGTAAATTATTGGGCCAACTTGATGAGCTGGAGAAAGACCTTGGGAGTCACTAAAATATATGTTGGCGAGTGCCAATATAAGAACCTAGACAGGTAGACTTTCATGTGCTTACAAGAAGGCACTTGTAACTCCCAATTATCATCAAATCTCACCTGGAAAGTCCACAAACCTATTTTTACTTCAGTTTATCCTTAATCTTTATTCATAACTGTTGTCATTGGGCAAGAACTTCAGTAGTGACCTGGGATTTTATGTGCCTCAGATATTGGGTGCCCAACTTGAAAAAAGGTGCTGAGCACCCATCTTCTGAAAATCTTGCCCCTATTAAGGTGTCTCAGGTTGGGCATCCAAAATCACTAGTCAGTTTTGAGGACCTTGGCCATTGGGTTTCTTTTGTCATATCAGAGTTAATAATTTCACACTTAGTGGCAGACTATATGGCTATAGTTTTAATATTAGTCCCAAAGATACCTTGAGTCATGAAGGTTATTTGATGACTTTGTGGTTGATTCATTGTTGTGGACAAGTATCTTGGGAAGCTTTTGAATACTATAGTCCCATTCTAGTCATATATCTCTTTTTTTAATTTGATGCAACAAGGCTGGCTGCTGGCATCTTGGTGGATCAGGAACAGAATTCATTAGAGAGTATAAATATCTATAGATGACTGAAAAACAGACACACCTGAAGAACTTACCTTATGAAGAGCTATTATGGCTCAATAGTGGCCTCTAGTTTCTGTGCCAAAAGTGGTAGTGTTAACCTGAACCCTTCGAAGTATAATCTTCAGTTTGTCCATAGTTAAGACCCGAGATTGGTATATCTAGTCTTAAAAAATAAACACAGTTTGCCTTGCTGTCTGGAGGCAGTAGATTATGTTGTCAGAAAGGCCTGGATCCACAAATAGACATAGGGGTTGCGATGCCTAACTTGTAGGCGCCTAAAAATCACGGAAATCCACAAAGCCTGAATTAGGCCACGTTCTCCCTATACAATGAATGGGGAGAGGCAAGCAATTTAGGCACCTAAATCCCTTTATGGATCTAGGGCAGAGGAATCAGGATTTACTTTCCTTCCTCCCCGTGTTGGGACTGTCAAGGAGGAGTGCAGTTCCTCAGAGGGAAGGAGCATCTTTCTGAGTGATGCGGGAGGCTGTGTCCAGCCAGCCTTCCTTGGCCGGGGGAGAGTCCCACAATGCGGCAGAGGAAAAGTGAGGTCAAACAATACAATGAATACCTCCTCAAACAAGAAAACCCATTAGATTTTTCCAAATGGCAACCCATTATCAGAAGACTTTGCTGCGTCAAACTCCTCTTTATTCTACTTTAAAATACATTGCATTACAAATCATAGACCATAGAAGTGTAGGACTGGAAGGAACCTCAAGAGGTCTTCTAGTCCAGTCCCCTGCACTCAAGGCAGGACTAAGTATTATCTAGACTGAAACAGTCAAAAGGCAGACCGCAGACCAAATCTAGACCAAAAGACGTGTTTGAACAGACTGCAAAATCTTTTTATTTACTGATGATCATTATTGTTGTTTTTAAAATTATTTTTACCCTCTCATTTTCTCACAGTGCAATCTCCAATACGTTGTACTGTGAATTAATGATTGACTGGTCCACCTTAATTCTTTATTTGCTTAATTTGAGCTATCATCATTTCCTCCAATAAAAAACTGTGTGTTCCTTTTTAAAAAATGATTTCATGCTCATAGGCGCATTTACTCTGTTGAAAGCGGTAGTCCTGCCTCCGGTGGTTTCGACGTTTAATGGCTTTACTTTTTTTTGGTGCCATGTTTAAACATAAAGTTGATACCAAAAACTGTTCATTTCAGGAAGAGTGGACTAATACTTACTGTTTTATTTTGCACAGCATCAGAACAGAGGCTTGACCACTATGCTTAATTTATACAGCGGTTTGATTTTATTTTTCATGTAATGCATTACAAATATTAGCAATGGGGTATATTACTAATGCACAGCTTGTATGAGTTTGTTGAATAGGGGCACTTGCGGTGTGAAAAATGTTTCTCTAGAGTCTGGACCTTGACTACACCTTGACCGAGAAATTTGGACCTTGACAAAAAATAATTGACTACCCCGATCTAGCCCAATACTAAATGTACAGATTTCAGAGTAACAGCCGTGGTAGTCTGTATTCGCAAAAAGAAAAGGAGTACTTGTGGCACCTTAGAAACTAACCAATTTATTTGAGCATAAGCTTTCGTGAGCTACAGCTCACTTCATCGGATGCATACTGTGGAAAATACAGAAGATGTTTTTATACACACAGACCATGAAAAAATGGGTGTTTATCACTACAAAGGGTTTTCTCTCTCCCCACCCCACTCTCCTGCTGGTAATACCTTATCTAAAGTGATCACTCTCCTTACAATGTGTATGATAATCAAGGTGGGCCATTTCCAGCACAAATCCAGGTTTTCTCTCTCCCCCACCCTCCAACCCACTCTCCTGTTGGTAATAGCTTTAGATAAGCTATTACCAGCAGGAGAGTGGGGTGGGGAGAGATAAAATCCTTTGTAGTGATAAACACCCATTTTTTCATGATCTGTGTGTATAAAAACATCTTCTGTATTTTCCACAGTATGCATCCGATGAAGTGAGCTGTAGCTCACGAAAGCTTATGCTCAAATAAATTGGTTAGTCTCTAAGGTGCCACAAGTGCTCCTTTTCTTTAAATGTACAGAAATACTAGCCCCCTCTGGTTCTTACAGCAAAGTCTATTGTTTACAACAAATTTTAGTGAAAGTTCATAGAATCATAGAATATCAGGGTTGGATGGGACCTCAGGAGGTCATCTAGTCCAACCCCCTGCTCAAAGCAGGACCAATCCCCAATTAAATCATCCCAGCCAGGGCTTTGTCAAGCCTGACCTTAAAAGCTTCTAAGGAAGGAGATTCTACCACCTCCCTAGGTAACGCATTCCAGTGTTTCACCACCCTCCTAGTGAAAAAGTTTTTCCTAATATCCAACATAAACCTCCCCCACTGCAACTTGAGACCATTACTCCTTGTTCGGTCATCTGCTAGCACTCAGAACAGTCTAGATCCATCCTCTTTGGTACCCCCTTTCAGGTAGTTGAAAGCAGCTATCAAATCCCCCCTCATTTTTTTCTTCTGCACACTAAACAATCCCAGTTCCCTCAGCCTCTCCTCATAAGTCATGTGTTCCAGACCCCTAATCATTTTTGTTTCCCTTCGCCGGACTCTTTCCAATTTATCCACATCCTTCTTGTAGTGTGGGGCCCAAAACTGGACACATTACTCCAGATGAGGCCTCGCCAATGTCGAATAGAGGGGAACGATCACGTCCCTCGATCTGCTGGCTATGCCCCTACTTATACATCCCAAAATGCCGTTGGCCTTCTTGGCAGCAAGGGCACACTGCTGACTCATATCCAGCTTCTCGTCCACTGTCACCCCTAGGTCCTTTTCCGCAGAACTGCTGCCTAGCCATTCGGTCCCTAGTCTATAGCTATGCATTGGGTTCTTCCGTCCTAAGTGCAGGACCCTGCACTTATCCTTATTGAACCTCATCAGATTTCTTTTGGCCCAATCCTCCAATTTGTCTAGGTCCCTCTGTATCCTATCCCTGCCCTCCAGCGTATCTACCACTCCTCCCAGTTTAGTATCATCCGCAGATTTGCTGAGAGTGCAATCCACACTATCCTCCAGATCATTTATGAAGATATTGAATAAAACCGGCCCGAGGACCGACCCCTGGGGCACTCCACTTGACACCGGCTGCCAACTAGACATGGAGCCATTGATCACTAGCCGTTGAGCCTGAAAATCTAGCCAACTTTCTAGCCACCTTATAGTGCATTCATCCAGCCCATACTTCCTTAACTTGCTGACAAGAATACTGTGGGAGACCGTGTAAAAAGCTTTGCTAAAGTCAAGAAACAGTACATCCACTGCTTTCCCTTCATCCGCAGAACCAGTAAGCTCATCACAGAAGGCGATTAGATTAGTCAGGCATGACCTTCCCTTGGGGAATCCATGCTGACTGTTCCTGATCACTTTCCTCTCATATACAAAGTATATAGGTCATCTTGAACTAATAAGGCTGTTGATTTAATATCCATTGGCAGGAATGAGCTCTGTCTGTATACAAATGCTTAGAGAATGGAAGGGATAAGTGAGTG